CAACATGAAATTTGCGAAGGCATCGACTTTGATACAGTCGCTCATGATTATGATTAGTAAGATTTTTCTTATGATCCTTTTTACGGCCATCTTTGTGTGTTCTTGGCTTGGTTCTTGGAAAGGGGTTTATGTTTGGGTATTTTACGGTTTCTGGCGTCATCAATCTGTGAATATAGGACTATTCTACCAAGATATATACGAATGCAAGTACGAGCATCTGATAATTCCATACTATATATCTCCTGCTTTTGGTAGTGTCTGCCAAATTTTGAGATTTAGTATACGTAAACACTGTAGTTTAGGAAACTGGTCTACATGTCCCCGTTAGTTAGGCTATCATGAACAATGACCAGCACATGCAATGTTTGAATGCCATGCTCCGATTTCCATTGAAGATAGTCTCAACAGAAAAAAACATTTATAGTCTATCCACCTCAAACGAGGAGAGAACAAGATGGCAGAAATCTGCCGGGATATATTATACATGGAATGAAAAGAAGTCATCGAGGAACGTTGATCTCATAGCCCAGTAAAACCTCGGTGGTATTTCCTTCCCAGCCTCTATTACCACTTGTCGAGATCATAAACCGGCAAGCCTGATCAACATATAATTGTGATATTGTCCCGGTGCGGTGCCCAGGGATGATGAGAAAAGGTACAGTGGAGTGGCGGGTGACTTGTTCGTGTTTCAAATCGTACAATCGAAGAATATCATGCGACGCACTGAAAACAATTGGTCAGCCAGATGCCATGATGCTACGAGACAAAGATGCTGTAGTAGCTAGCGATGATAGATAGAAATACTACTCACCAGACAATATGTCGCCCATTCGGCATCGCCTTCAGCGCCGTCACTGGTCCACTGCCCTGCGGGAATTTGAAGGTCCTCTCAGGCTCTCGTAGACCTTTATGGAGACTGAATTCCTCCACAGTTCCATTTCGACGCCCTGCGTAAATATAATTCCCATCGGGAGACCAGCATGCATTCATGCACCATGGTGGAGAGTTATAGGGTGTGATCCGAGCAACGGGGTCGGGTTGCCGTCTGTCCCATACTCTGATTGTGCCGTCGATGGACGCGGCAAGGAAGGTGTGATCTGTTACTACATTCGACTCTTGCTGGGTGGATATAGCAGATTGAGTCTGTGAAGGTGGTTCTAATCCCTCCGCGTGCGGTAGACCGTTCGTCACTGGCTGCGATGAAACGTTTGGAAGCTCGGTCCCCAGAGACTCGGTCAGTGGGTTCGTTGTGGTAGCGTCAGCACTTGCGTTGCCGGCTGCAGTCCCATTTGGTTGATCCATCATGTCAGGCTCGCCATGTGCATCGGCATCGGCATCGGCATCCGGAAGAATGCCGTTGGCAAGAGCTTTGCCAAACTCATCATCCTCGTCTATTCCAAAGGCATTTCCCGATGCGCCCGCACCTTCACCACGCCCGCCATCTGCATCCCCGAACAATGAATCGGCCCCGCCAAAGAGTGAATCTGCTGGGGATCCCGCCTGCGGGTTTGCAGCAGCGCCGCCTTCACCTAAATCGTTCGATGTATCCATGAAGTTGAAGCTGTCAGTTCCGCTGACATTGTAGTTTGATGAGTAGGTGCCATTCGTCTGAGGCAGTTCTGATGCGTCTTTTGGAATGGGGATGGTGGATTCTGGCCGAATCTCGATCGCTGCGATTTGCCCGGCGCTGGCACCAAAGATACGCCTCGTCTGCCCGGTATTCAAATCCCAGTCAAACACTCGCTTGTCCCAACTACCAGATAACAATGACTTCTCGTCCGGTGTCAGATGTAGTACCGAGACGGCCGAAGTATGTTGTTGCAGGAGAGCGATCTCTTTCCCCTCATCATGGCGAACTGACTGCAGACGGATACTGCCCGACTCCAACCCGGATAATAGCCATAGGCCTTCGCTATGACTAGCTAGAGAATAGACCGGCGACAATGCGTTCCCATCCATGCACTCCCAATATGTCATCAACACACCCGCCTTCATTACGCTATCGACGAAGGGATGTCGTTGCGCCACGGTCAGCATCAGTTTGCTGTTGATTGAATCGACCCAATTGAACTTTCGCACATATCCATCGGACCCTCCACTAAACACCCATCGCATGTCGGCTGTCGCTGTCACTGCATTTATCGATGTACTATGAGGGGCGGCGGTGGTGGGTACTATGTCGTAGCTGGATGCTGTTAGACATTCCGGACGAACGTGAGGGTGAAAGACGGAGGTCAAGTCGGATGTGATGTTTGTAGAGTCAGGAGAGGTCATTGTAATATGAGGATTCGCTTGAGAAACGGTACCAGGTCCTTCGGATGCGTGACTGGTATTCGACGGGCTTTCCGCATCTTGATCAGCGTCTGCGTCTCCATCGGCATCATTATCATTCCCTGCATCATCTGCGTCTCTCAAAGTGTCTTCCATTTCGTCGTCCGAGCTTCCATCTTGCGAGCCTACATCGCCGGACCATCAGTAAGTCTTTCAAGTCATCGTGAGGCAACAGGCGAAGGGCTCACCCGCAAGATCTCGATCATCCTCGTCCCCAATTGAGGTCATTTTGACGTCGCAAAACCCCTCGCTTCTAAGATTCTGTGTCGCAAGCACCGATTGTATAAGCTGGAGTCTATCCTCGATGCGTCAATCGCTATACAGTCTGAAAAGGTTGGGATTGCGCTAAGGCGCAGTGATGCCTCTTGGGTTCGGTAGAGGAAGCTGCGAATTATGGACTCATGGCTCGACTTGAACATGAAATCACTTCTCTTGGGCCTTGGAGAAAATAAAACCAGCAGCCACAGTATGAAAAGTGTAGCTTTGATATGAGACTTCTTATTCAAGCGCTTAATAAAGCCATAGAGAATGGGCCAATATCCATTGTGTTCCCCAGACTTCAGTCACGTTGATTGCCCACTTTCTGCCTAAGGCCGAAATTACCTACCTTGGGTTAGCGCCATGATGGATATATCAGAATCGCTGGAAAGCACAGAATACTGTATCTCGTCCACTCATCTCCAGTTGAGTTTGCGATAAATTCTTTTTTGTCTTTGACCGAATGGTCTAAACCAATCAGAAAGAGAGAATAATTGATCTGGGCCTATCATGGTAGTGAACTATCAACAGCGGATTGCAAACGAAATGAATCCTTCAACCTGTCAGGGACGAGGTTGGGTCATTCACGTTCGAAATCAGTCCAATCGGGGTCCAGAGAAATAAGTCTGAGATGGCACATTGTACTTGAAGGGATATCCTGAGTCTACTTATCTCGATCTTTGAGCGAATTCATACATGCAAACTCATCAAAAGGCTGTTTGCAAGCCATACAGTTCTAGCCAGTGTCCGGCATAGAAAAGGCTTATCTTTATATGGGAAGGTAACCGCCGTGGGAATACCGGAATACCTGGACATAGAGGAAGAAATAGTCCTGGGAACAGATGCTGAGCCATTGACTTCAGGTAAAATCTGGCAGCGTAGAGCCATTCATTCAATATAAAAGAGGATGATGATGAATAGGCAACAGACTGATGGGGCTGATCAATTTCGTTTGCATCTCATTGTTTCCCTTGTATGATCCTATTCGTCAGGCCTTTCCTTCTTAAAATTGATGTTCAATGAAGACTGTCACTGTTTCCCCATCTTTGTGAATACAAATTTGATCTCCCCTTCACTGACTTACCTCTGCCATTGCTCGAGACTTTCACTATATTTTGCGGCTGGGACCCAATGCTATTTGAATCTCAATTTGCCGAATAGCAATTCCCTCTTGTCGCAACTAACGCCTCATCATCGTCCACCTTGTTCCTATCCTTTACAAGCTATTCTCCTAAGGCTCAAGACGACTATAGCCAAAATGGAGTCAGAAGATGAACCTGTTCCATACTTCTCAGGAGGTCTTCATGAGGTACTGACGAAGCTGTCCATCAGTCCTAATCCCGAAGCCAACCTAGCAATCAGAGAGTATTGCCGCAAACAGGATCATGGACAGAAAGACCCTTGGCTCCAGAAGCCGGAGATACCAACACCTGAGGAGATCCTACCGTCGTCGTCAGACGAAGAGTGTGTGGAGCTCATGCCTAACAGTATAGAAGGTCCCTGGAGCTCGAAAGAAACTTACTTGAGAGCCCACTATGAACTCCTTCGAGAGGATGCTGTTGCTCCACTACGAGATGCTGTGGCTTACGTCCGTAATGACCCGCAGATGATCGACTCTCAAGCTGTATCGATATATGAGAAGGTCAGTCTTCAGTCTTGCTTCATATCCGTAGGAAAATCGGGCTGCTGCTTACCAGAATCTGGCTTAGGTTTACATGACTGGCATCACATTCGCCAAAACGGGCATCGCATTCCGAATTCGATTCTCCACTAACAGGTCTGGAAAGAAGATTGTCTGGGAATACTCTAAGCGGTTGATTACTGGATCGGTCGTTGCACTGTCTCCTGCAAGCGACTGTTTCCAAAGCAAGTGTGTCATTGCTGTTGTTGCTGCGAGACCCTTGGAAGGCGTCAAGCAAGAGCCTCCGGAGATTGATATCTTCTTTGCCCAGCCTGAGGATGCCAATTTTGATCCTCACCAGGAATGGATTATGGTAGAAGCCAGAACAGGCTACTACGAGGCTCTGAGACATACCATGACTGCTCTCCAGAGACTAAACCGCGAAAAGTCAGTGTGAACCTTGCTGGAAAAGAAACTCAGAACTAGCTGACCCTGCATCAGGTTCCCTCTAGCAGATCATATATGCGGCCTGAATCCCAATGTTGATGCTCCAGATTATGTCAAGGAATCTCCTATTGTGGACATCCAGTCAGTTATTGGCCGAGCGGACAAAGAGGGAAAGATAAACCTGTTGGAAGGCTGGCCAGAATCGCCAACAGGTGATCTCGACAAGTCGCAGTGGGCAGCTCTGAAGCAGATCCTTACCAAAAAGTTGGCGATCATCCAAGGCCCTCCGGGCACTGGGAAGACACACGTTTCTGTGATTGCGTTGAAAATTCTGTTGTCTAACATGCAGCCTCACGATCCTCCTATCATAGTTTCATCTCAAACAAATCACGCCTTGGATCAACTTCTGCGACACATCTCAGTTTTCGAGAAGAACTATATTCGCTTAGGAGGCAGAAGCAACGACCCTGAAATCAAGAAGCGTACTCTATTTTCTATCAGACAAGAAGAGTCACCAGTCACGGTTCAGGGTGGCATGTATGGTCCGTCAATGAGGAAATACAAGACTCTGGTGACTACAGTCGTGGAGTTGCTGGATGCTTTCAGCCAAGACAACGATGGGACGCCTCTATCTTCAAAGCTTTTTGCTAAGCACGGGCTGCTGACAGCAGAGCAATATGATTCCCTTGCAAAGGGAGCTAAGGATTGGATCCGTCCTGGTGCCGAAGAAGATGCCGATCCTCTAATCGCATGGCTCGGAGATCAAGTGGTCAAGTTCCAGGTGACATACACGAAGGAGAACTTCGGCTTTGATGAAGACGAGGTAGATCTTGAATACGAACAGCTCAAAGAACTCGAGGCGGAGCAAGGGATTGACGAGGACGACTATGAAAATCTCAGAGGACAATTCATCTTTCTGCGCGAAGCGATGCGTGGATTGGTTCCTTCCAGTCTTCCAGAGACAGCCTGTCTGGACTACCTGAGGCACTCTGATATGTGGAAGGTCCCAGTCAAGGCACGTGGTGCGGTTTATGATGCGCTACGGAGCCAGCTCAAGACGATGCTTTTGGAACAATTCCGAAAGCTCGCCGCTGCCTACACAAGGAACTGCGAAGATCTTCGGATTGCAAAGTGGGAGCGAGACTACCTCATTCTCCGGAACGCCAAGATCATTGGTATGACTGCGACAGGCTTGAGCAAATACAGGGCTCTGGTTTCCAGTGTGAAACCAAAGACTATCCTGATCGAAGAAGCAGCCGAGGCCATTGAGGCCCCGATAGCCGTTGCCTGTCTTGATTCGGTCCAACACATGATACTTGTGGGCGATCACCAACAGCTCAAGGGCCATTGCGCAGTGCAAGATCTCGAAGGTGAACCTTTCCATCTGGATGTGTCCATGTTCGAACGGCTCGTGAAGAATGGAATTGGCTACATTACTCTGAGGCGCCAAAGGCGTATGGTGCCGGAAATCCGCCGCCTGCTGGAGCCTATCTACGGAGAACTGCAAGATCATCAGAGTGTCCTCCGGCGTCCAAAAGTTCCGGGCATGGGCGACCTCAGATCTTTCTTCTTCTCGCATAGCTGGCCAGAAAGCAGTGACAGCCTGGCGTCCAAATACAACGTGATGGAGGCGGAAATGATCGTCGGATTCTTTGTTTACCTTGTGCTCAACGGCGTCTCGGTAGACAACATAACCGTTTTGACGTTCTACAATGGCCAGAGGAAGAAATTATTGAAGCTGATGAGGAATCATTCATACCTCCAGGGCCAGTATGTCAAGGTTGTGACGGTCGATTCATACCAGGGAGAAGAGAATGACATTATCATCCTCTCCTTGGTGAGAAGCTCGAATGCAAAGGGCATCGGGTTTTTGTCAGTGCAAAACAGAGTCTGCGTTGCACTGTCCAGAGCAAGGAATGGGCTCTATATCTTTGGGAATGCAAAGCCACTTTACTCCGCCGATGCCCTTTGGCGAGAAGTGATTACCATCATGGCCAACGAGCGCCCTTGTCGAAGCATTGGATTCCAACTGCCTTTGACGTGCCAGAAACATGGCAACACTACTCTCAATCAAGGTTGGACATTCTGTTTCATACGATAATGGTCTCACGAACTTATGCTGACTCTGACTGCTGAAGAACCTTCCGACTGGAAAAAAACGAATGGCGGGTGCCGCCAACCATGCGAGGAGCCACTGGATTGTGGGCATAAGTGTGCCCTCCAATGTCATAGGTGAGTCATCAGACGGTTTTCACACCGAGCAGCCACCACTAACCCGGTGTCTTTCAAGCTTCTCCCATGATCTGGTCCAGTGCGAACAGCGTTGTAACCTCAGAATGCTTTGTGGTCATGTCTGCGACAAACCGTGTTCAGAAGATCATGCCTGTTTCTGCAAGTGCGAGTTGAGTTCATCGATGTTATCAGAATTGGAACCGGCAAATGTGAAAGGGTCCTCGATTGACCGTCGACAGAGGGTTTCGGCGGAGGAGGAACTAAAGAAAAAGGCAATCAGAGGCTACCAAGAATTCGCGCAATGGGGAGCTAAGCAGCAAGATATTCTCTTGCTCAGAAAAGCGAACCCGAGAAGCTTAGCTGCGATGCAGAGAGGAACCCAGAATGTTATTCTGACCAACGATTCCAGCCCAACGCGTCATAAGAAAGGAAAGAAGAGGGTCTCTGCAGTCTCTGCTAAGGAGGGCGGGATATCGAGGGCCGTGCCGGTAGGGAAGCTTCTGGAGGACTGATCTGTTGAAGCCAACAGTGCAAGTTGACAGTGCTTGTGGCAGGAATTCCAAGGGACCTATCCTCGTGCGTTGTACGGATAGTCAGCTGGGGCAGAAAAGAAGGAAGAAGCATGGAGCAGATTCAGCCTAGGCATAGTTCAGCAATATCATATGAAACATCGAAGATCTTGAGTGTCCTTTTCTTCTGTCAAAGCGTCTGTGATCCATGAGATTATTGTGTGACAGGGCTGGTAGAGACCGTAGGGTTCAGGAGTAGTAGAGAAAGTAAGGACCATCCAGCCACCATTCCTACCCACAACCCACCACCCACCGAATAATAGGTAGAACAGCTGCACAGGTGCTCTTTTTCTGTAAAAGGTAATTCTTATTCTTGCAGGTAACTTAAATCCTGGAGATAGCATCTCATCCGTGGTAGCCTCAAGGTTAACTTCTGACCCACTCTGTGGAAGGGAACTGATCGCTGACGCTGTGCTGTACCTAATCAATATCTCCCCAACAGTAATACGGATAGATCATTTGATGTATCCCCAGTCTGCTCGCTCTCCTGCGGTCAGTTTGAGGATGGGGTTGTTTTACTTTTACTGTTGTTTGTTGTTTACCACCGAGGATCTACCTACTACTACACTACTACTGATACTGGTGCAGCAGATGCAGGCCCACTGCCTTGTTTTTGTGCCCCTTTCACATTTGTGTCTGGCATCTCGTCCCGCCAATCGAAAGCCACGTACCTTGTCTATTCACTTCCGTCTGTATGAGGGCTATCTAGACAGAGGATGATCTGGATCGAACAGTCGAGAATCTCAGCTGTCTTTCTCCACTAGCTCGGTTGGATTATTTCCGGAACTTTCCTCAGATGATGGACGTGTTTGTGGTACTTAGCTTACTGCTAGTACCTCCTAGATTATGCTACTTTCCTGAAACTTCTGGCTGGCTCGATCCGGTAAACAAGCCACACAGTACCTAGTCACTCAGACACTTGCACCATCCACACCCCCTCTTTGGACGGCTTTTTGAGACGCAGTTACCTGGGTCCCTGTTGCCTCTCCCCTTGGTGCAGATTATGAAATTCAGACTATCATTGCTCGCTTCGGATTTCCATTGTCACCACGGTCACAATACCTGACCGCTTGGCCCTATCCACATGGCTGAGTTTGTCCGTGCTGAGATCTTGGGTACTAAATTCGAATACACTACGAGGCATGTTTTCTACTCGCGCTCTTGATCTTTGACCAAGGGCTAACTACTATGACCAGATATGTTAACCCGCAGCCCATTGGTATGGGGTCTTTTGGCCTCGTCTGGTATGTACTTACTGCGGTGGCGTTGCCACTGCTTACTGTCTCTTGAAGCTTCAAGTGCGTGTCGTTATTAACAAGGTGCTCACTGCTAGCTCGGCGTTCGATCAGATTACCCAGCAGGCGGTTGCCTTGAAAAAGATCATGAAGCCATTTGACAGCTCGTCTCTGGCGAAGCGTACATATCGGGAAATCAGGTTACTAAAGTATCTTCGACATGAGAATGTATGGCATCCTGATGCTGTTACTGAGAGCCAGATTGACTCTGGACTCTAGCTCATTTGCCTGCGCGATATTTTCATATCTCCTCTGGAGGACATGTAGGTGACTATTCTCGTGGCATCGCTTCTCTTTCTTTGTTTTCAATACCTTTTGCCGGTATACTGATATCAGGTTAGCTACATAGCTACAGAACTTCTCGGGACTGACCTCGGGCGTCTTCTGAGCGTTAAACCCCTTGACAGCCAGTTTGCACAATACTTCATCTACCAGATCTTAGTATGAACATCGAAGCCGAGGATGATACCAACATGCTTGCTGACAGTCAGTAGCGAGGCCTGAAATACATCCATTCGGCTAATGTGATTCACCGTGACCTGAAACCAACCAACATTCTCATCAACGAAAACTGCGATCTGAAGATATGCGATTTCGGCCTAGCCCGGCTGCAGGAGCCCCAGATGACCGGCTACGTTTCAACCAGATACTACCGAGCCCCGGAGATCATGCTAACATGGCAGAGATACGGAGTCCAAGTGGACGTTTGGAGCGCGGGCTGTATCCTTGCTGAGATGCTACGGGGGAAGCCGCTTTTTCCTGGGAAGGACCACGTTCACCAGTTTCACCTCATTACAAATATCCTTGGAAATCCTCCTGATGCGGTGATTGAGAAGATCACCAGTAAGAACGTAAGTCGCACAGTGGCACTCGACTCACCAATCCAAGATTCGTCCCCGTCTGATTTTGACATCTAGACTGTGAAATTTGTGAGATCTTTGCCGTCACGAGAGCCTCGAGACCTATCGACTGTCGTCCCGAAAGATACTGATTTCGATGGTAAGCATCCTCCGCTGAGGATAAATGTAGTGGCTGGACACAGATAATGACACACCCCTCTATAGCTATTGACCTTCTCAAGAAGATGCTGGTTATTGATCCAGACACAAGAATCTCCGCCCAAGACGCTCTCAGACATCCCTACCTGGCTCCGTATCATGATCCTACCGACGAGCCTGTAGCTTCAGGGCCTTTCGATTGGTCATTCGACAATGCAGACCTCCCGAAAGAGACTTGGAAGATCATGATGTTGGTGCTCAAAGTTTCCGCTTACATTGATAATCGACTAATGTGTGGGCATTTTTATAGATATTCCGAGGTTCTAGACTATCTCAGCGTCGACGACCCATCCAATTCAAGCGAGCAACGAGAGGACCCATCCCCGTTTGATCCATCTACCCCCTTTGATCCGAGCGCCCTTGAGCGGGAGTTTTCAGAATTTCTCAGCGATTCGGGTCAAATCTAATTCGGGGCTGCTCGAGTACTTGGGACCATCCTCAAGTTGCCCATTGTCTAACCGGTACTCTGCAGAAGACGGATCCATGGACATGGAGATCGTCAACCACAGCCTTCAGAATCAGTTATCCAACCGCAGGGCGGGGGACAACTCAAAAATGAGGCCATTACGCCGAAAGCGATTCTTCATGATGAAATTGACATCACAGCATTTCGACCCCTCTTCTTAACGCCTGAGCAAGATATCTTAGCGAGTCTTTCACGATTGACTTAATGAAACCCATTGATGATCCGTATTTGCTTATTCCTTCACTTACTGTGTAAAATCGCTCAACACTTTTTCAAGATAGGACAATTCCCTTCTGTACCAATACCTCACTGACAGGTTCCGTGATCTGGCTGGAGGTAGGCCCATTAGAAAATGAATTGAGCGGCCTGGCTCGAGCTCGTCAGTTTCATCGCTCTCAAGTGTCCCCAATGAATGAGGACTGTCACTTGATCTCACTCGTCTCGCTCCAAGGTCACAGCCATTTTGGTATTCAGACTTCAGCCGAGCATATCACCAGCAGGCCAACAAAGTGCTAATCAATCAGCAATTCACAATCCATCTTTCCCATCAAGCATCCTACAATATCAGAAGACAACAATGTTTCTCAACGCTCAAAACCTCCTGCTCGGATCTCTCAGTCTCGCATTATTCACAAATCCTGCCACTCCATCACCAGCACCGTACCCAGACCCATCGACATCATCAAAAGCAACCAACCCTGTTAGATGGCGCCTCCATCTCTACCAGAATACCCGCTGCTCAGGAGTAGATACCTTCTACTCGGGCTCTGGCTCGCTCAAATGTGAGAATGAGATCCTGAACGGGGGTGCGTTGGGCTACATCAGTGAGACACTTCAACCGCCTTGCTCGGTGGTTCTGTTTAGCGATGAAAAGTGTAAAAGGTCGATTGTCGCCATTGCAGCGGACAGTCCGAAGAAGTGCCAGGCTCCCAGAGTGGAGGGGAAGAAGGCTGAGATCCGCAGTTTTGAGGTGAGGTGTTGAGCGGGCCAATTTCTAGTACCATGCGTCGATTGATTGAAATGTCTTGGATTGATTCTCTGAGGGGTGCATGATGGTAGCCGAAGATTACAAGTGCAGTCCTAACGAAAGGGAGTCTAATTGTTACATAGTCTCGCTCGTAATGGTGGCAGGCGATTAGCAATGGATATCCCAAAACAATGCTAGAAAGCAGAAATACAATGAGAGACTACTTCTAGACTGTGCCGCTATTGTCGGCGCACGAGAACGCCTGATCAATCTGTCCGTTGTGGTACGCCTCAATGATCTGCACAACCACTCCGTACGTGCCTCCGACAGTCATAAAGATCCCCAGGAAAATCATCACCACGTGCAGACTGTAGATGGCGAGCCGCCCGACACTCCCCCGCCGGTAGTGCTCATGACTGTATAGCCACAACCACCCGGGCAAGCAGATCGCCAGCGGCGCATAGCAGAGACTCCCCACCAGAGCAAGGACGTACGTGAAGATGGGGATAGCGCTGGCCAGGATGAAGGAGATGGCGGACAGGATGATCGTGCAGCCCAGCCAGGTACCCCAGTGGACAAGCGTGTTAGCCTGGAGATGCTTCGAGTGGCGTAGGATCCGAACGAAGAGATACTTCGCGCCGACATGCACGTACAGCGCGCCGCTGACGACGAGACCGGGGAGTGCGATGCCGTACGCGACGCGCTTGACGGTCTCGCCTGCGCTGCCTAGCGACGGCGAGGCGATCCACTTCCCGCACCAGGCGTAGATGACCAGGCTGAAGGCGAGGTAGGAGGTGGTCACGAAGCTCATGCTCAGGTAGACGGCTTTGGGGTAGTCTCTTGGTGTGCGCATCTCGGAGATGACGGGGAGGAAGGCGGAGGTTGCGGCGCTGGAGCAGAAGATCGTCGCTGAGGCGGTGATGCCTGCGGCGAAGGTGGGATGGCCGATGGCTCGGAAGCCGAGGTCGAAGGCGCCGGTCTGGGGGGCTGCGGCGGGTCGGTCGCGGGTGGTCACGCCGATTCTGCGCGCAGTCTTCGTCAGTGGGTGCGGCTGTGGGAGGGTTGTCTGGCTGGTAGACTTACACGATGATGAACACGGCAGCGAAGACGCTGAAGAATCCGACCCAGGTGAGCCAGCCGATATGGGCGAACTTGCG